AATGAAATTTCATCTTAAAGATGCATTTTATGTAGTAATAGGATGACCTCAGCTTAACAAAATAGCAAATGAAATAATCCTTATGTACAACCTTACAGATTCATTGCATGTTTTGCTACCTAACAAATCACATGATTTGCACAGCTTAAACAACATATTGGACAGAAACACAAATTATGAGTTTTAAACTGCACAGTACTAGAAACTATCCAGTCCACCATCATTTTCAGGTATTTTTCTTAATTTTTAACTTACAAAAATACATGGGAAAATTGTTACTCTAATTACCTTTCAGAAAAAATAGCAACAACCTGATGTATTTTGAATACTTTATGTTATATGCTGAAGGCCAAGACAATCAATAAACCAAACACAAATATGAGGTTGAAGCAGTCCTACACCAGAAGAAAAAACACACACACACACACGCACAAAACCCTCCAGAAGTCTCCTGAAATCACCTTTTGGTACAACACAAACAAAACACAAGAAAAGCAAAATGATTCAAAGCAATACGCTCAGGGAAGGGCCAAACTTAATGGAAGACTGCATTTAATATAATGTGTGATTCCAGTACAGTGCTTCTTCCAGAGGAGTTATTCTTTATAATCATCAACTTGCTAAGCTTTCCTGAGTTGAGGCAAATCTTTCTAGCTTTGCTTGTGCCAACAGTTCTGGCTCTTGGAAAGTATGCTTCCCATCCCTCAAAATGTAGATTTGGATCCAAATCTCAGTTACACATAGTTTCTTTGTTTTTTTCAGGCATCTGCCAGTCATGATGCATGCTTCATTTCAGCCTGTACACACCACCTTCCTTAACACACACATGCACAGAGGCTTCAAAACCCAGAATCCAAGATAAAGGTGCTCATTCAGTTAATCTTTCCTAGATGCTATAAAACACAGTACTCACATATTGTTCAGTGAGGCTACCTCATACCTCAGGTGTGATGCTAAGGATTGAAGTCAAGAATCTAAGGATACATTTTCCCAAGATCACCTCAGCCAGGTACCTCTGTCTAGTGCCCTACATAGCCATGGTCTGCAGGCACTTGTCCAAATCCTTGCCTTGCATCCAATCTAAAAATCAGAGTGAATTGAACTGATGTTGCCAATAAAGCTGGTCAATGATGTTATCTAATTCAAACGCTTGAGTCACTAGGAACTAGCAGGAAGACCAAGCATAGGGTTACCACACATATTTGAGTAAGAGCTCTACATCAGTCTAGATGCAATGTGAAAACATATGTAGGGTCCCTATGTGATGCAAATAAATAAGCACTTCCAAATACTCCCTAAGTGCATTTCAGAAGGAAGTTTACAATGCCTAAAGATCTTTTTAGCTATTCAAAGCAACAGTGACAGGAGGAAACCCCCCCCAAGGGTGCAATTCATCTCATTTTTGTCAAATAAACAGCCCTCAGAAAATGCCTTCATTGATGACAATTAGTTCAAAACTGATAATTACCTCACATCTGAAGATAGGTCTGAGACTACTAAAAAGCACAAGAAATTCATGTAGGCACTCTAAAAATTTGTACAGAAGTCTCAAAATTCAAATGTTTAAAAGCAACATGAAAATCAGAGTTAGTCTTTAATATTCTGCTGTACTGCAAAAGCATTTATAGGGAATTGATTATATTAGCTTTGTAACACTTCCCGAAGTAAGGTTATAAATACAATATTGTTAAAACTACTAATATACCTGTCACAGCACTAGCTCTGAAATTTATTACTGATAATATAATTTTTTTATAGCCTGCCTAAACTACTTAAACTTTCAGTATATATGACATTCTCTGCAAGAGGGAGCTGATTCATTAAGACAAGATTCAACACTGACGTGTAAGCAGTTAGGAACTTTTCCAACCAAAGAACTGAGTTAACCATATGGGATTTTCTAATTGGAAACAGACAGCAGTATCTTTTCTGTTGGGGTAGGGGTTCTTTTCTCTTGCTTATTTGATCAATAAAGTTTCTCCTTAAAGCAAAAAGCTATTTCAAAGCACTGGATCAGTTTCACTGTTTCAAGTTTCACTGGAACAGGCTGCCCAGGGAGGTGGTGGAGTCTCCTTCTCTGGAGATGTTCAAGACCTGCCTGGATGCCTACCTGTGCGACCTACTGTAGGGAACCTGCTTTGGCAGGGGGGTTGGACTCGATGATCTCTGGAGGTCCCTTCCAACCCCTACAATTCTGTGATTCTGTGATTCTGTGATTCAAAGCTAAATTCCTCTTCAATACTTGAAATTTAAAGAAGGCTCAGCAGGAACTTCAGCACAGTAGAAAAAAAAAATCTCTTCAAATTAGGATTTCTAAAACATTTAGGGACTAGAATATATGCAATTTCCATCACAAATGCCCAATACTAACATTTTGGGGCAGCTGACTGGTAGTGTAGCTGAACTGCTTCCACACTAGACCAGAAGTGTTACCTCAAGCCGAAGAGGTAATAAAAGGGACTCATGGAAGAGACTGCATCTACTATACCACAAGCCAGGACTGCCCAAGCAACTTCCTACATCAGTTAACAGCCAGAAGCTGCTAGTACTGCCAGCTGAAACTTCACCAGCAGTACTATGTAGCAAAGTTTGAGAACTTATGCTTCAAAACTATAATTTAGCCCTGTTAAGCAACCCTGCCTGTTTCAACATAAAAATATACTCTAGAAAATACCATGTTAAACATCAGTTGAAAGATAGAAAGGTAGTATATAATTAAAGCTTAACAGATACTGAAATGGTTCTTTGCAAGAGTATGAATAATCTGCATCCTATATGAAAACAAATTTTATTTCTGAATTTAAAAATTACACGGGTTTCATCTGAGAGAGAGAAGTGGGACCAGTTACACTCTCTGCTGAATAATAAACTGTTTATGTCTTGGATATGCAAAGCATTAGTAAGCAGTGCATTACTGGGCTATGTCCTCACCAGCACAGCAGCAGTTTACAGAAGCTCTTTGACAGAGCTAAGACATGGATGCCATGCCACAGGGCTACATATACAGCTATGCACTTTTCTCTCCCTGCTAATGTTAGGGTTCAACTCAGGAGAGTCTAACAGGCAGGTTCCTATGAACAAAGTTTATTGATGTCCTCTGACAACATGATAACTCTCTTCCACCCTGCCACAGGAAAAAGCTTTAAGTGATTACATTATAAATAAGCTACTTCCTTTAGAAACAACTTAAATGAGAAATCTAACAGCTGTTCTATTTGCTGCTCCATTCCAAGGATCAATGAACACTGGATGTGTCAGTTAGTGAGATGCAATCTATCAAGAACAAGCAAGAGGATGCTGCTGAAGACTGCAGCTTTTATGTTGTGTTTATAACACTGGCCACCTCTGCCATACTAAAATATAATATTTAATTCAAACAGCTTCAGAAATGTACACGAATATATCTTTAATGACAATTATTAGAATAACAACGAATATATGTAATTAATAATTTCTTAAGGGCCTTTGCTTTTTATAAGCAAAATATATCAACACATAAAACAGATAAAACTCTGGCTCCAGAAGAAGGTAAGCAGTAACTCTTTTTCATAGTGCTTATAAGTGCATATACAAACGTACATACCTATGTATGTGCATACATGCCTGATAACTCTGGGTAACTGTCAAACATGCCTTGCAGTTTCCACCAGAAATACTCTTCGAGAGAATGTAATCCAGTTCATGTCAAATTTTTGGAAGCACATTTATTCATTATATGATTAATCTGAGTGCTCAGAAAGGTGCAAGATCCATAAACCAGCATCTTCAAAGTGCAACTATGCACATACTTGCTGTTTGTCCTTTGTCAAGTCAACTGTATGCTTCAGTAATCATTAAAAGATGCAAATGAGCAGTCACTGGCAGCTGCTTCTGTTGATACCCCTTGTGAATGATTTTTTTTATTTTATACTTTAAAATGTCAGCTGAGAACCCTGAGTAGGGAATGAGAGATCTTCCTACAACAGGAGATTAACACTGAAATGTTTAACCACTCTATCACATCATTAGGGGAAATAATTAGGCACTTCACACAGACACGGCAAGCTAAATTACAAAAGGCAGTTTATGAACTACTTTTAACACATTTTGCTTGAATGAAAAGAATGTACCAGCAGACAGACTGTAATCACATTTAATTTCCATCCCTCAGAAAAGTTTCAAAGGACTGAAGTAAGGCTTCATTAGGGGCCTACTCAGTTTTCACGAAAGGATTTATCACTGCTTAATCCAGTAAGAATCCACTAAATTTCACAGACAAATGGTGTTCTGGAAAGGCCAGAGGTTTCAACCAGTCACCATAATCTGCTTTGTAAGTAGATTATTTTTCAGCAACACAAATTTGTTCTAAAGTCAAGGAATGTTCACACAAAGATAAAATCTAACAAATCAAGTAATGAACAGAGAGAACAGCGATCCCCGTATTAAAAAACTTTGTGAAGAAGAACAAGTCAAAGTTTTGACATTCTCAACTACAGCCTGAGATAGATAGTACATGATCTTGTTAAATACACTGGTGCTATATTGAGGACAACAGTCTTCCTTCCCCATGCTTTACATATATCTGATATGCAAGTCCTATGTGCCAAACTAGGGATCAAACATGCTGAACAGAATTCCACAGAGAGGAAAGTCACAAAATAAGCAGCAGCACAATCTGATGGTGTGTTTTCATATATATATCAAGAGCTGGACAAATGTTCACATACATTGTCCAGCAAAGGCACGCTTCAAAAACAAATTCTATAAATCCAATTCCAATTGTAAAAAAACACTTCTTTTTCAGGGAATTGGTAGCAATTATTTCTTACCTGCCTTCAACAACAAAGTAAACATACTAGAACAATCTGAAGCTTGCAACATTCAAACATTTTTCTTAGTATTTGTAAGCAGTAGAAAGAAAATTGCAATACAATATACCCTTCCTAGTTACTCACCTGCTTACCTTGGAATCCTTGTCTTTTTGTTTTTTTAATTTTGTACACCAAAATCTTTTATCTTACCTTCTAATAATGCAGTAGAATCATAATTCTATATTGCCACACATCCAGCACTATCATGCCTGGGATTGTATTAAGCTGTGAAAACAACAACAACAGCAAAAAAAGCTGTTTGCACAAAGTCATTCATTTTTATCCTTAAAATCATATTTGGTCGTCATCTCAAAAAATTTCCGTGCAACATTAAAGATAATGCAATATCACAGTAATAATGAAATTACTTTTCTTCTTAATGCCTCATTACTGATATTGCTAGTATTGTATCTCTGCATCTGATACAAAAGGTATCTCAAGGGTAGTTTTAGGAACACAAATGATAAAGACTTCTGTCCTCATTCATATAAACAAGAAACACACACGTTTCAGTATTTGTAAGCCATTAAAAGCATTCCCATATGCTATCATATTAGACTGCCTTGTGATAACACGAGAAGTTCTAATTTTACACATGTCTAGATCATTCCATTATCAACAGCAGGTCAAGGTCTGTGAAAGGCAGATGATGTAACTTATATTTCATTACATGCATTAAACACTGCCTGTATTTAATACTTCCTAAATTAATAAGGGAAATACATACTTGGAAGCTGCACTGTAGTAGAAGCACTACAGTAATGGGAAGATTGAGATTTAATCTTTATTTTCATACCGCACTTTCCTGATTTGAGTATAAGATCTGATTCTTCTACCCTGTACACTATGTACCATCTTACCAAAAAAACTTAAGGAGTGAAAAGAATTAGCTACGCTCACTTTATTCTGCTGCTTTCATGTCCTATGCCACTGAATGCTTAAAGATGACAGACACTTCACTCTGCTGGACAGCTTAGCTGTGTCTGAATGCTTACACTGCATTGATACTGCGCTGCACAATGCTCTGGCACTGTCAAGACCACAATAATTATCCATCCCCTATACATCACCTTACAGCTCCTAGCTGATCTCTTACAAAGCAGTCTGATTTGGAACTCCTTTAACAACGCAAGTAAGAACGCTTTCTGATTTTAAAAAAAAAAAATCATTAAATAAAATTTTAAAATATATAAGATTGTGTAGCAATTGGACAGATCAATATGATGGGAAAGGCGTTACAACAGAGGTGTGAGGAAGGAAGGACTGGCACAATAGAAAAGCACGACAAAGTTTGCTCACCCATATCAGAAGATTCCAGGTTCACAGGGGAAAGCTTCACCGTCCAGAAAGAGATTGCATTACTTTTTCTGCTCCTGTATCAGAAGTCATTAGGTGACAATCACCTAAGAAGACCCAAACCTTCTGTGCCCCAAAAGGCACGCAAGACCAGAACAGAAAAACTATTACTAGTATTTCTTTTTATAAATTACAAAGTATTTTATTATTTAGAGTCATTAGTCTGTAAAGCTAAAAAAAAAAAAAAAAGGCTAGTACATGTGGGGCTAAGAATTTATACTACAATTTATAGAGGTATTTTATTGATTCATCAACTATTTAGAAGATCTGTATTATTAAAGTACAGGTGCTTTTCATTCAGTCTGTAAGGAAGACATTCATGGAAATATTGTCATACTCCCTTTATTCTGAAAACTGTAGGAAAGCAATATTAGGTAGCTACAGAGAGGATATGAGCAATATCTTCAAAAATAGGCATGCCAAAAATACTTGTTCCACTTTAATGCGTTGGCTTGCCTTTTTTACCAGATCAGCAAGGCCCTATCACGACTTACAGGTATATTTTTAGATAATTTGAACCTTAAACACTGCATGATAACAACAAGCTTTTTCATATACTTGAAACAAATTGCTTAATTTTGTCCTTTTTTGATACACATTACAATTGTCTTCCTCCCCATTCTTTAAGCAGATGAACATACAGGAACTCAGAGAAGTCAAGTCGCTAACATATTCCATACTTCAATAGCTGTTCCTCAACACATTTAAGTCACATGCATTTTACTTCTAGATAATCTATTTCTAATTGCCTCCTAATGATGTTTGATGCACTTGAAATCTAAACCTTGTAAAGGCAGGAGAAAAGTCTTTCATATAAAAAGAGGGAAAAGGACCATTTTCATGGTTCTGTGATAGGGAAAAAACACCAGTGCTGTACAGTGCATGAACTGTATTTCAGCGCCCAGTGTTCCCACTATGCTCCTGAAGATCAGCTTCTTGGAAAAACCACAGTGCAAGATACTGTGCATGCTGGATGCACAACACTCTAAGCAGACACGAACTTCAATACTTGTTACAACCATCCTTTTCACGTCTTCCTTGCACCAAGTACTGACGGCTGCACACAAAGACTCTGCAGTAGGACCATCTATGGTAAACCTTTACCCTGAGATAATGCTACCACCCCTCAGAAAGTGCATCACAACAGCACATGACAGAGAGCTATGATCATCACAACTAAAGCTCAACGAAACTGGGAATTTTTTGAATGAGACTTGTGTTAAAAGATCAACTGATCTGCTTCCTAATACAAAAAGAGGCAGCATCAGCTTTACAATGTTATGTATTCCCATCAACAAAGCTATAAACACCTCCATGAAACACATTCTGTCAAACTGGCTTCCTCTGAAGTAATCACTATTCTGAAAACACTGCACTGGGATCCACCAGTGTGGAACTGCAGAGTGCTACTGAAGTGCATTTTATGCCTGAGCTTTGATGTACATTATGGAACCATCTGGATGTCTTTGGAGAGTGTGAAAAGAAATAGGTTAAGTGATTGGACAGAAGCATCAATGCAATATGCTGGAATGCTTTGCAGCTAGAAGCATTTGGTAACGTAACCATTTGATATTCAAGATACTGAGCTTGCATACAGAAGGAATAAAGATAAACACATGAATCATGCTGTTAGCTTTGAATCCGTTTCCCTTTAAGGTAGAACAGTACCAAATCTCTCCAACATCAAATGAAAACGTTTATCCTGAGCTATGTTATTTAATATTTCAATTCCTCATATTTACAAGCATTTTAACAATTATATTCTATCAGAGTCATGCAATGCCAGTTCATTTCTAGCAATGATTAAATCATATGGCCATGTGCTACCACAGGCACGCACTCAGAAATAGATGTATAAGAACCCAGAATACCCAATTCTCTTGACTGTTTGCAACTTAAAACAATTATTTAAATTAGTGTAACTCGATTGGCTTTGTATTTAATTTTTGTTGTTGTTCATGTACAACTCTGTTTCAGCTACAATATTGGCTCTTACTGCAAATTGTAAATTTTGGTCACTCAAAACACAACAGAAAGCTGGTTCTCAAAATCATGCATAAAGGAAAAGATGGAACGTTAATCAGAACAGCTTGAAAACTCTTTCTTCTACGCACCAATGATACTAAAACGATTTCTAATATACTTACAGTACATTTTCATTGGATTATTCAAAGCATTTTAAAATCCTGAATAAATACTAATTGCTATCTTCCATTCCACTAAATGCCCCCATTTTCATCTGTTGAGAATTACTCACTGAGATTGTTGGCTAATTTTTTTAGTAGAGTATTGATCAACTTAGATGGTTACCAGAAACAAAATGATTTTCACAGAAATACTGATGTGGAAGTCCTTGTTGAAGGCAGTGTACTCAAAGGCTTGTAATGTTCAATAAACACAGGGATGCTTTCACTTTTTAATCTCTAATCTCCCCCCCTACCTCTTACCTTACTTTTCTTAACAAGCCAAGCAAACAAAAAACCCCACAAAGATGAGAACACATCAACAACAAAATCAGATGGGATATGAAACAACATGAAGAGCTATGTCCTCATGTTTCTTACTTGTTTAGAAATCCTTAATGCAATTTTTCTATTGAAAATCTTTACAAACATTTAAGATAGAGTGTTGTACAAGATGTAATACATTGTCAGGATGTGAAAAGGAAATAATGTTTTCGAAGGCTGCTAAAAACACACTATCACTATGTTTGAATTTCTCATCACAATGTTCGTAATTTTCCACAGGTGTCTTCTTAAACTATCATAGCAATATTAAACACTAATCTCAATTGAATGGATATGTTTGTCTATTGAGATCCCTAGTAAACTCTTTTTTTTGAGGGAGAGCATCATTATAATTCTTCTAAATCCGTTCTCACCTATGAATATCTGGCTAAGGCTCAAGTTAACCCCACAGTCTTTCTCAAATCATACAACAGATAGAATTAGCAATTGCAGTTATCCTTCTTCTTAAAAAGGCCTGAAGATGAACAGATATAAAACTTTTACCCATGCTTTCTCTGTTCACAGTTTCCACAGCAACTGTTCTCTTACCCATCAGACAAAATCGGGTAGGAGGAAATATTACGTGTGTGGGTGGAGTGATAGATTTAAGCTAGCTTATTTTCTGACCTCCAAGTAACTACCTTAAGACTAGGCTCATTTTGCTGCTACAGAGATACAGTTTTCCAAAACTTTGGACCACCAGATTCCATGTGCTTTTACTGAGTAGATTCAGCTAAATCTTCTCCCCATTGTCCTGTGACATCCTGCAACCAGGCAACCCTGTCAAAATCTACATAACATTTTTTGTAGCGCGAGCAAAGCTTTCTCACATACCTATAGATTGATTTATTTTTTTTTCCCCCCTGAGGTAAAGTATTGTCTGCAGTTGTCTCTTCTTCTCAGGATGCCAGAGACTGTCACAAGCTTGTCAGGTTGCTGTGTGGCCTTCTCTCACACTGGCATTACCAACATTGCTTAAATATTTCCTAGACAGCAGCTCACACAGAACTACACAATTTCCTTTATCTTACATCACACCTAACTGCCAACTAATAAAACTTATATTCATTCAGTAAACTATGACAATGCCTCAATTTCTTGAATCATGAAAATAGTTCTATGAGTATTTTAAGATCTTCTACTGAGCAGGGCATACAATAAAAGCATATACATATATGGAGTAGATTGCAAAAAGGATGGTAGGTCTTGTAAACAATACAGAAACTGAAACATAAATGTAAACATAAATTTTGAGATTGAAGAGGGTAGATTTAGTTTGGATACAAGGAAAAAATTTTTACGGTGTGGGTTGTGAAGCACTGGAACAGGTTCCTCAGAGATATGGTTGATACCCCAATCCTGGAGACTTTCAAGGCAAGGCTGGATCAGGCCCTGGGCAACCCGATCTAGCTGTGCCATCCCTGTGTATTGCGTGGGAGTTGGACTAGATGGCCTTAAAGGTCCCTTCCAACTCTAAGGATCCTACGATTCTGTAATTCTGGAGTATGAGTGCTGGAGCTAAGTGCTCTATGCTGTAGTATTACCCAAAGGTGACTGTACTACATGAGAGAAATAAGCCTTGAACATTCACATGAAAAATACAGTAAGTTCTCCAATAAACTGTGTGCTGTTTGATTTTAATATTGAACATGGCAAGGACTACTACCACTTGTGATCCCAAGTTAATTCTCTATGGAAACTGGAATCTTAGGGGAAAAAGAGATGTTCAGTTAATAACAATTCCACAAACAAGCAACAGAAATGTTACTGTCACAATTCTTTGTCAACTTGGACCAGGCAGAGAATGAGCTTCTATTTTTCCAGTATGAATCATCTATACATGTGTACATCACAAGACTGCAAAGATAGTGCTTAATAGCTGGCATATGTAAAGTGCTTATTGACCCAATAGTCATCTTCTCCACATTGTGGTCACACAGTCATCTTCTCATTGTCCTAAACAAGTATCACACACAGTGGAAGGTGGCTGGTAAACTGTTATTTTACCCATATGATATCAGACCCGTGGATACTGGAAAAAAAAAAATTGTTCCTGCCAATGCTATTAATGATCAATGCAAAGGGACATCAGAGAACAGTTATGAGAGAGCAAGAAGATACAGGCTACTGCCCCAGAAGAAGGAAATCCTCAAAACATCCAAGCCAGTTCCAAACTATGCTGTCCTTGCAGTGCTGTTCACAATAAAACAAACTGTTCAGGTTTGGATTTTTGTGCATCTCCACTGATCAATTTAAACATTGTTGACAGTTGAAAAGTAGCATTTTGCTGGCAGCAAGATCACTTGTCCTTAGCCACCCAGGGCTTAACACAAGCTTCTGGACTGGTTGTTTCCCCACTTCACTGACCAAGAATCCTTTCTTTTTTTCCCCTAAATATTTGCAATATGTTCCTGTAATCAGAAAGTAAGGGATATCACAAAAGAGGAAGAAAACAGTATCAACTACTAATCAAAGGTAAAGCTGGACCTGTGAATAAAAATAAAATAAAACTTCCTGTTTTGTTTT